CTGGATTCAATCCCTAGCACAGCAAAACAAAACAAAACAAAGAAAACACCTTTAGGGCTCATAACCAAAATGTCCAGAACCTTTCTTCCTCAGCTATCCTGCCTTAATTCCAAACCCTCCCTGCTACACAAATTTCCTTCCACTGAAGCCACACAGCATTGCTCAAGCAGTTTTCTCTAGCCAGGACCAGCAACTAGGAGACTAGTTGCTGAGTGAGTGAATGATCACTTTTCTCCCCTTCAATTCTCAGTTCAGTTCTGACATCTTCTAAGAAGCACTGTCAGTTCCAAACTCTAGTCCTCAGGGATTTCTCTGTTCTCTGCATGCAAGCATTTACAACACGATGTAGTCCTCAACAGCTTGGTGTCCCCAACTGGATTGCAAATTCTGCAGGCCCCAAATGAAATATTTTTCCTGAAATTCAGCTCCCAGCACTGTGTTGGAAGACCTATGTCTAGTTGCAAGACTGCACTGAGTAGCTTTGTGACCCTGGAAGAGTCATTGATCTTTCCAAAATTGTTTTTGCATCTTTTTCAACAAAGAGAAGCAGGGTGCAGTGGTACACCCTTGTAATCCCAGCAACCCAGGAGGCTGAGTCGGGAGGATCTCAAGTTTGAGGCCAACATCAGCAATTTAGCAAGGCCCTAACCAACTTAGTGAGATCTTGTCTCAAAAAATAAAAAGGGCTGAGGATATAGCTCAGTGGTAAAGCGCCCCTGGATTCAATCCCCAGTACCAAAAAAATAAAGAAAAATAAAGAAGAAGGGCTGGAGGTGTAGCTCAGTGATACAGCCCTTGCCTAGTATGCTTAAAACCCTGGGCTCAATCTCCAGTACTGCAAAATAAATAAATAAATAAAAATAAAGACATGCCCCTGGGGTCCTTTTTTATTTTCTGAAAATCACTCTTGGGACTGCCGTCCTCACCGCTGGGGGCATATGCCCCAGCCCCTGCACCACCCCTGCTGCTGCCTGGGCAAGGGGAAGTGGGGGCACAGTACCTGTAATTATTAAACATGAATTCGATTAAGAAAAAAAATAAAATAAAAAAATAAAAACAGTCACCTGCCAGCCCACTTCACAAGGTTGTTATAACAATCCAGTAGAATAATAGCGTGTGTGAAGAAGCACTAGGAATTGCAACCTGTTCTGAAAATGTGACACAGGGGTCTTATAATAGGCTCAACTCTGAACCAACTCTTTGAAGATCTACCAAATTCAGGCATATCTTAACCCTCCTAGCACTATTTTAGTTAAGAAATCAATACTAACTTTATCTTCTCGGTGATCATTGGTCGTGTGTGTGTATATGTGTATATATATATATATACACATACACACACACACACACACACACACACACACATCATCATCAGCCCAACTTAGGAGAAAATTGTGCCACTCTCAATTGCATATTCTGTTCTAGTTCCAAGGGAAAACATGTGATCAATGCCCCAACTGAGCTGCACATTTCTTCTGTTTTATCACACCCAGTAGTTATGGAGCATGTGTGCAATTCAATCAAGATGTTTGATAGGCCTTTTGGGTTGAAAGTGGTTCCTTTGTCTGGTCCTAGACTGTAACAGTGTAAGGTGGGAGATACAAGGAGGCCCCTTGAGGAGAAAGCAGAATTGAGAAAGGCTCAATCTAGGTATCATTTTTTTTTTTAAGACCCTGGATCCAGCCATGCCTGAAGCCAGTGCACATCTGCCAGTCAATAAATTCCATTCTTCTCACTTTTTTCTTTTTTTTAGAGAGAGAGAGAGAATTTTAATAT